TCTTTTAAGTCAGTAATAGCCGTCAGCAACAGCCTTGTACATGGAATTGCTTTGAGGCCATTCGTGTGGAATCAGAATTTTGTGTATGTTTAGAAGTCTGAGTTACAATTAAAGTTTGAACTCGATTATAAAGTGCCATATTGCTTTAGGTTTAAATTGTTTTTAGTCTGCCGCAAAAGTTGAAGCAAGGTTTAATGCGAAAAAGAAAAAATAGAAGCAGTGTACCATAATCTTATGAAGAAAAAAAAACTAGCTCTAGAATTAGTGCCTTAGGTATCATGATTCAAAACACGGCTTGAAATTTGTCCAAAAGTTTAAAAATCTTTACTTCCTTTAAAAAATATTATTCTAAAAAAAGTCTAACCATAGAATATAAATAGGTAAATGAATAAAGTTGTAAGTATTACCAAAGCAGCTGCGGCTACTGAGAATTTCATTAAAGAAACGTTTGTGTCAGAGTTGATGACATTACGCCTGGCTCATTCACAGCATGTTCTTTACAAAGTTGTGACGTTTCTGCTTAGAAAATACAATTTGAACTTTCATTATGATACACAATGCTACCCAAGTTATGCTAATAGCTCATCTCCTAAATCATTAGGGGGAAATGAGGAAGTCCTGTGTCAACCTGTCACTGAAAGACACACTGAATATGTACCTACAGAGCTACACGTACATACAAATAATCTGTCAGAGTTTTAATATCACGTGGGAGATGAGCTTAGCCAAACAACAAACAACAATGAAATTCTAGGTAAAAGTTATTCCAGTTAGGAGCCTACTAGATCAAAGTTTTAATTCAAAAGTAGATGTTTAGCCTGAAATTTGCAGATGTCATTTTGTCAGGATTATCAGCTGAACTGGTTTAAAAGATATTATGGAAAGACTATGCTGGGACTTACAGTAGCAGCAACACAGGCAATTGCTAAATTGAAGATAAACTGTGCTAACAATGGAAGATCTTCTAAAGTGTAACTGTAAATACCTTGAGACCACTTTATTATGTCCATTTATGTCACCCTATCCCCATGTAACCATCTAGAGACTTGGTTTATCTGCGTTACTATGAGTTTTCTAGTTGCTCATTTACCTGGATGTTTACCTATTTGTGTGTCTTCTAATAGCTGATTTTATTACTTCATATATTCTGCTAAGTCTTCAGAGGCACTTTAAATGTGTTCGCTCATGCCCTTGATTCCACACCACTTTGCAGTGGAATCTGGTCTCTGATGTGTCTATGATAAATTTCATCAGCTGGGCTATCTATATACATAAACATGTATAACAGTGAAATGAACAATTATTTATCTCAAACAAAATTGCCCAATTTGATAAGAGAACAAGGTACTAAACTTTTCAAAGGTAAAAGTTTGCTAGATTTTTGGAAAATAGATAGTAAACATAAAGGTTATATTTCTCCTCCCACAGCACCTGAAAAATAAATGGATATTTGAAAAAGAAGAATTCAATAAGCAAGTCTCTTTCTGCTGATCACAAGATGAAAGCTTATTTTTTGATAATATAAATAACTTGGCATCACATTCAAATACAGCCTGTAGGCTTTCTTTATATCAACTACTTAATTTTAGTTAAGAGATTATTACTGAAGAAAACAGGTAACTTGCCATTAACGACTCTTTGAATCATCATTCCTGAAACATAATATTCTAATAGCATCTTATAGTGTTGACATTTTTCTTTTGGTATTCTTCTCTCTTGGTATCCCTTTCATAAGCCATAAGAAAAAAAAATCCTCTCCAGCATTAAATAAAACACCTTTTCTAATGTTCAGTATTTCTGAAGTAATAAAACACTCAAATCTATAATCTGTGAGCAATTTAATTCTCAGTATGAATATACTCTTAGACTGTTGGAAATTAAGACTGCAAGTGCAAAAGCAAAATTAAGGGAGAAAAATTAAGTGCTCAAAATATTGTTTAATTTATAAATGATAACCCATTATTACATCTTTTGTTCTTTCTTACTGCTATCATTCTATTTCAGTACATGCATATGTACATATATTCCTCATTATTATATATTCTCATTTTACTTAGCAACACATTTCCTGTGATGCAGAATTCTAGGTTTTCACGTAGTAAATGCATCTAAGTTCGTTATTTAAACTTTAAAATCACCTATATGCAACTAAAAGACTATCAGCTGATTTTCTTCCTATTCCCTTTAGTATGCCAAGTGATTTCTTTTACATAAATACTTTCTTGAACTGTTTGACTTCTGTTTTTAATGAAATGAATTCTCCGCCTCTATGTAGAAGTCTGCTATAAACCTAAGTCACCTGGGAGCCTGGCCAAAGTCTGAAACAGCACAGCTGAAGGGTACAGCCATTTCCCAGGGTCCTCTCAGAGAGTATTTGGTTTGCTTTCCTAACTTGCTAAAAATAGTAGATTACACAGTCTACCTCCATCTCAGGGCTCAAGAACTCACAAAAGGCTGGACTATGGATTGTAGCAATATATAGAACACATTTTATTAAAGAAGTCAGGATATTACAAGTTTTCTAAATTCCTTCCGTTTACTCTCTGAAACAATACAAATGATCTAGCGGTTACTGGCATGGAAACCTCATAATGCTCCCAAATTTCAGAACTTCAGGCATGAGTCATAGAATTACTTTAACTGTTTTAAAATATGTTTTGGATCTATTTTAGCCACAAAATTGAACACAGGAAGACTACTATCTAAAAGGTGGGATTCTAAATACTCTATAAAGAATCACATGTGTTAGTTACAAACACACACACACATATATATGAAACATGGCTTTTGGAAACATGAATACTTAATTACACATTCAAATTTTTAAAAATTACTTCTTAACATAGTTCCCTAACATTTAAGGAGCTGTTGTTCTGGGGATGAAGCTCCACCAGAGATAAATTTGTGTTTATTTTTTCCCTGTTATTTAAATCAAAAATATCTTACCACATTTTAGACACTATAAATTAAATTTCAGTTTCTCTTAGAAAGACAAAGAATATGGACAACGTTTGCATTGATTAGCTGCTACAACAAGCTGATTTCAAAAGTAAATTTAAAATCTTGAAATTATTTGTTATTAAAAAAAAGTCCTTGATGCTGATGTGGCAGTTGAATCCTGTTAACCACACTGCATGTCATTAAGCAATGCTGCTGCTTTACTCAAAGGGGGACTGTTCCATGGCCACAAGTGAGCAGCAACTAAAAAAATATTTTGAGATGGAAAAATAGCAACTGAATTTTAATGTTTCACAATGTTTCCAAATGCTGTGAAAGCAGGTCTTCTGTGAAACCACTCAGTGTCACAGCCAAGTTTAATAAGGTCCTTCATTTTGCAGCTACCAGTGCACCATCAACTGTCTGTGGGATTAAAAATTGGATTTACTAGTAATTGGGTCAAAACAGGGTTACTTATGGACACAGCTGGTTACAGACAAGTGTAATTAGCCCTTTGCCCCTCATTTTATGGGTCCCAGTCTCTAATCACACCTAAATTCAGTTGGCAGGAATTTAGGAAGACATATTCACAAGGTACAACCACTGTGCCCTTCATCGATGCCTTTCAAAGGAAAGGAAAAAAAAGGCCCAGTGGTAATTTATAACTTTTGTTTACTGATCTTTAGCACTATGACACTAAGAACAATCTAACACTATAAGGTATCTTTGTTGTCATTAATACCTTTTTTTATATTCTACTTTGAAGATAATATCCTTGAGTCTTTGGTGAAACTTTAGCAAAGTGAGCTGCACACACTGGACCAAGAAGCAATTTACTGAAATAGTTAACTCACAAGTTAACTCATAACATTGGGGTGAGTTATGAGTTAACTTACATGTTAAGTATTTCAGTTAATTCACCCCTATGGTATTAAAGAAAGGTTACTGTAGCACTATTGTTTTCGTTTTGCAAAAGACAAAATGGATCTATGAAACCTTCACTTTTCTATATATGTTGAAATAACAGCGACTCCCCTCTCCAAGGTTCAAAGAGTGAATTAAACCAGCACATTAATATTCAAAGGCAGTTCATTAAACCAAGTATGTAGAGAGTACCCAGGAATCTTCATACTTCTAGTCGACCTTGCACATCAAAATTAAGACATGTATGCTATCTTTTAAAAGACCCACTTTCAAACTTGATACTTGAAATACGAACCCAATGACATTTCTGAATGTCAAAATATACTAAAGTGAACTTGTTGGTATTATGGTGCCCACAAAAGCTAACTTTTAACACCCCTAGCTGAGACTGTTACAAATAAAAACATAATAATCAGGAGGTAACAGAAAATAAACTGCTAAGCTACTTCACATTAGAATTTTAGAAACTTTAAAAATCCAATTAATAATACTACTCAAGCGTTTCTACTGAATTATAAAAGTCACATTCAACAAAGTTTATGCCTCTGATAGGGTACTGTGGCAGCAGCCCAGAACCTTACTTCTAGTTATGTTTTCCACAAAATGCATTGCTTCTGGCCTTAAAATAATATGCTCATACAACAAAAAGGAACTCCATAATGTCAAAACATTAATCTAAAAAGTCTATCCAAGTTTAGCTGACAAAATCTGCTATACTTTTACAACGGTACAGCACGCTTTCAGACAAGCAAAAACAAATCATCCCCATTCAGCTAGTGCCATGGCCTTGTATATAACCTATGCACATGCTAACACACACATGTATCTACATTTACTATTCCCATAGATAGGCACTGACTTAGCTATTATTAAGTAAAAAGTAGCCTGACACCTTCTGCTCTAGAAAAAAAAATCACAGCATTAAAGGATGGAGAAAGTTATTCATAACAAAGAAAGTTTGGCCAGACTTGGTTCTATTGCTTCTCAGTAAAGTCCCCCACCTCAACATCATCAAGAACACACCGTATAACCAGAACTATTAACACAGCAATCCATAATTCCAAACTCAGTGGACTGTATATCCATATCCCCTTTATTCAATTATTGCATATCCTTAAAATAATATAATATTTACTCACTTTCAATGAATCAAAGCAGGCGATTACTCGTCCATTTTCAACTTGGCAGCTTTTCGAAGGATGTGCAAATTTACATTCCGTGTCTGGCCGTGAGCAAGTCCCCCTTTGGAACTCTCTACATACTTCCAGTGTTAGCCATTTTGTGTCCCGAATTGGTGTGACACTAACAGCCATGTTTAGATTTTACAGGTAGTTAAAATTTTCAGTGAAACCAACAAACCCAACGCCCCCCCCCCCCGCAAAAAAAAAAAAACAGTAACAACCAAAAAAAGAAAAAACTGAACTGATAAAACTGTAAAATGATGATGAAAATGTCTCCTCCAAAATACTTTTCCCCCACTCCCTGCTTTAAAAGTACATGGAAAATTGTGTTGTCAATATCAAGGAAAAGATCTCCCACTAGAAATTCACAGCATGAAACTGTTAATTCAAAGAGGTTTTGGTTTTTAGAGAAATACTAGGATCGTAAGTAGATGAACGTTTAAAAGTAGGGCCTCGAATCAGCCTTGTGCTCTCAGTAACCCCTTCCCAGTGCCAATTTGGAGCCCAAAATGCAAGCATGAAAACGTGGCAGACCCTTTGACACCGAATTTCCAAGCTGCTTTCAGCAAAGTTGTCTGAAAGGGAATCTCCTCACAGCTGAATTTGCAATGGAGTTTGGTGATGCAATCGGTATTGATTAGTTTGGCATAGACAGATGCAGCAGTTTAGAGCAAAACCGAGAAAATGATTTTTTTTTTCCTCCTTGATTTCCTGGCAGAAGATATCTTACTTTTTCAGCAAACTTTTCTTTTAAAACTAAAGCAGCCTAGGGCAATGCCAGATACTTAGAGCTTTTCTCTTGATTATAAGTAGAAATGGGGGTGTCTGGGCTAGAGGTGGAGGGTGGATGTGCTGTCGTCACAGTCTAGCTGGCAGCAAGCAAGGCAAAAGCAGAGACTGCTCTAGAAGCGGTTCCAAGCAGCAGAGACGTCAGGAAAGGCACTTCTTAGTACCAACCTGTAGAAAAAAGAGATAGGTTAAGATTTACTAAGTAGCTCTTCACTGATGTCCTACAGTATCACAACCTTGCCATGTGCTACCAGACTAAGTAGTATTCAAGTCAGCCTCTCTCTCTCCCTTTCTCACACACTCACACTCTCTCTCTCTCTCTCACACACACACACACACACACACACACACACACAATACTTACAGTGAGGCATACTGCAGCCAGCCATCGTAGATTTATTAAAAAAAGGGGCCGTTTCCCCTTGTGAAGCAATGCATGATAGAGAGATAACCAATCACAGATAGTGTTGCAGCAATATTCTGGGCAGAAAGCCAATAGTGTGGGCTGTCTTATGAAAGGTCGCGCCTGTCAGATGTTCATTACTATGCTATAAGCACAGAAAATGTCCATCAGATGTGACTTATTCCACTGCAAGAGGACGAGCAAGTGGGTTTTGAATTTACCCAACATGCAGTTAGTGGACTAAACCATGTTAGTTTCAAAACAGCTTCTCAAACAAGTCCAAGCACTTGAAGATCATTATCAGGAAATAAAAAGCAAGGTTTAAAAACTGCAGCTGACTTCCAAGCTGCTCTCCCTCCGGCTCTGCGCAGGCACGGGCACTGAACAGCCTGCTCCTGCTGTCCTGACACGTGAATAAAAAAGGAAAGGGGTGTTTACAAATGGTACATTCTCCTGACCTATCCAATTCACTTCCTTCTACAGCCCAAGTCCTGCCCCCTCCACTGAAAGCGGCACTCATACTGTAAAACTATTCCATTCAGCCGGCAGACGCTTTGTCAATATATCACAGGGAGGCGAGATATGAACAAAAGCATCCTTTATTCTAACATTTTTTAAGCAGAAGTTGAGGTCATGTGGGGAAAATAAGGAGTGCAGTGTTGTCAGTGTGGCTGGCAAATTTGAAGTCAACCTCAAGGGAGAAAGTGATTCCATCGCAGAAACATTAAATATTAAGGGAACAATTTGATTTGGGCAACATGATGCACTTCAGAGGTACGAACGAAGCTGGAGGGTGGGAGCTCAGGGACCCCCTATTGCCTAACGATCTATTAACTCAGACTGCTCTCTACAGCGGGGCGTTTTTGCTTTTAACAACTTACTTTCTCTTTCAATCTAGATGGAAAAACTTTCAGAAAATGCTCAGTAGTTACCAAAAGCATACACTTTTCCCCCCCATTCTGAAAGACACCAAAGAAAACAAGGCTTTAATGACTCTAAAAGTTTCACACTCTAAAGAGCAATGACACAGTATAATAAATACTGTTAGGTTACACTTCAAGGGCCCAAAATGGCCAACTAGCGTATAATATATTTATAATTTGGAAATTAGAATACAGAATATGAATATATATACATACATACGCATATATAAACCACGGATATCTAGCCGAAAGTTTAAAAATTTATTTTAGAACTAATACTGTCATTCTTAACATTAATTTTTTAAAAACTCCCAGATGCTAGGTTTAGAAAATATTGTAGTAAGACTACAACTTCTGGAAAGATTTAAAAAGAAACAAAACTCGTACTGATGCTCCAGAAATATTTTTGTTTTTAAAAAATTTGCCGGTCCTAATTCCTGGTTCTGTAAAAACAAAGCCAAGTTGGTCACAAACTCTTAAGATTCATCCACCTTCCTTAATGTTTACTGTGCATTCAAAATTTCTCAACTTCTTCATGCCTTGCATATGTACCACATCTGTGGTCAACGTCTCTTTTGTCTTTCTGGAATCTTCGAGAGCTTCACCTGCCACCCTTACCTCCTTTAGAAGTTGCTAACGTCACTTCTTCCAAGACACTTTCAGGATGTCACTTCCTCCGTCTCCACCCACCCATATATTAACACTGTCTCCTCCCAATTACCTCTGCTCCCCTATACAGTGTTTTATTTGCGTACATGACTGACCCACTAGCCTAATGTTCCCAAGGACAGAAACAATCTTAACTCATCTCAGTAACCCTAAGTGCCTGGCTTAGGGATGGAAAACAGATGGAGCTCGATAAACTGTGGCAAATTAAATGATTGATTTCTACATGCGAACTGGAATTCACTTTATGGCACATAAATACACAAACACATGCAGGAACACACCCGTATAAACAAGTGAACACACACCTGAAAACACACACACACACACACACACACACACACACACACTCCTCATTGCCTCTATAGATTTCTATATTCTAGGGTCACTCAGGCCTCCCACTGTCTAGGAATCCTCCCCCTGGCCCTGGACAGCTCCCTCTCACACTCCAGCTCTTCGAAAACTTCATTACTCTCAAGTCCCTCCTCCTACTTGTTGCTCTCACTACCAACAGTAGATGATCTCATATGGCACAAATATTTCATAGTAAAAATAGTGGCCCCCAGGCATGGGCTCTCTCTCACATTCCCACCACCCATGTTTAAACTATCTTTCTGTAATCTTTCTTCTCAGTCTCCCAGGAGCTTTCCCTTCTCCTGCCCAAGGTCAAGCTGCCACCTTGACTGGCTCCTTCTCGAGACTTCTTTCCCTCTCAACTCCCTCTATATAGGAACACCTGCCTTTCCTGCAATTCCTTCCCTTAGCCCTCAAAGTGCTGAAGAAGCTCTAAGCTGGAAGGGGTGGCACAGCAGGAGGAAGGGGACCTTGCCTAGTTACACACCACCTCTCCCTAATGCTCGCCATCCATGCTTCCCAAACAAATGTCTGAAGAGTCACCTACACGTGCTATTTTCCTGCTTCTCCTCCATTCATGCTTGCATCTGTTATCAGTGTAACCTCCATAACTATTACTTTAGTGCTCAGCGACAGTGGTCAATGCTCCCAACCAAGCCAAATCCAAAGACTACGTGCGCGTCACCCCTTGTCATTACTTGACCTCTAACGGCCCGTACAACTCCCTCTTTCTTGCCCCCTTCTCCTTGTCTTGAATTGACACATTTTACCTTTTTGGTTTGTCCCAGCGCTGCACCTCTATCCTCCCTGGGACAGAGGAGCTGTGAGGAACTGCCGAGGTTCTTGGCATATGTCATACCGTTGTGAGCTCCTGGGACTTGTTACATGCTAACCCTTTGTTTGGTTTGACACATACTTCTTTCACCCCTTCAACTTGGCAAATCCCTTCTCCTTGTTTAAACTGCTCTTCAAATATCACCTTCCGTAGAAGGCTGGGCCAACTCTGATAAACATTATTCCCTTTCAGAATATTCTCAGTACTTTGTAGCTCTTGGTACTTTTGCCCCCAAGGTTATAAACGCCATGACCATAGAGTGTATTACCATTTTTTTTTTTAACCCAGTCCCTGGAACATAACAGACGTTCTTAAAATGTTTTCTAAAAGAATAGGTTTTATTCAACCTACTAGGAATAAACATGTTTGTGAGAATGTGTGTCCAGTTCCGAGGAAAATTTCATCATGATCTATGGGATCTAAACAATATGAGGACAGACAATGGTACCATCAGAAATATCTTCACTGCTTGCTGGTTATGTCTAAATACAACTACAAAATTAAGTTCTAGGGTTGATTATTTTTCCTTTCTACAATGTTACAGGTTTAGTTCCACTCAAGTACAAAATATACTTTAATTACTTAAATGCTTATAAATGGGTGTCCTGATTATTTATACTTTCTGTAGCAGAGAAATCCTATTTACATCAAAAAGTATCACTGAAAGAATTATAGATAAGTATTTCTAAGCTGAAAATACTATTATAAAATGTATTAGGCAAGGACGATAATCAAAATATTTATAATTAGCCAGGCATGGACAAGTGAGCAATCAGATAGGACACCGACTTTTATGAAATAGTCCAGCTGCACCTGATAACGTGTGTTCCAGCCTTTGACACAGGGCACTGGGAGTAACAAACTCAAACTTTATCCGAAAAATTGATTTGACTAAATTGCTGATATCAGAATGCTGTCTTGTAACCTTTTTCTTTTTCTTTATTGAAACATAAGAAGTTCAGAGGAGACTAGAAATCTTCCTAACTGAGTGCTTTGATAAACTAAGATTTTACAGGATTCGGGTCAATACTTCAAACGGCAATGGATTTTTGTTCTACAGATAGAGACAATGTTTAAAAGTGTATGGGTATTGTTCAGATTGCAGGAATTCTTGCAAACATATTTACTCTAAAAATATGTGTTGTTTGTAAACAATTACTGAAAGAAATACTTCTACTGTAAAGATATTTACTAATAGGTAAATTGCTTCCGAGGTAAATTTTTGACCGATATTTCAACGTATTATAATAAACCTCCCTGAACAAAAAACAAACAAAAGAAATGATTGGGAATACAACCATTTTTCAGTGAGAATCAAACTTTTAAAAACCTGCCTAACAACAAGCCCTCTTTTACCTGCTGATCAAATTCCAAACACTAAACTGTAGTGTTCCTCCTATCACGGGACATTTTCTACAGACAGGCATATTCTTCCCAAGAACCAAGACCAATTTCTCCTTGAGTGATATCAGAATTCACATGTATTTTCTACTTTAAGATAAGAGGAGGTAAATAGAAAGGAAAAGAAGGAAATGTAAAGATAGAGGAAAAGAAACCAAAAACAGGATAAAGTTTAAAAAAAAAAAAAAACACGGGGAATTACAAATAATTACTCTTACAGCAATTGATATATATTAGCATTAAAGTAACAGTGGATGGCTTCATATAAATATCTATTTAAGGGTTGCATAGATTCTGCAGTGAAGGATAAACAGGCACTTACAAGGTATAAGACTAAAACTCTGTTTTGGAGAACTGGATGGCCTCTTTAAGCAAGGTTAAATTTCTTAGTCATATATGCTTACTAATCAAACATAGGCACATTGGTTCTACTACATGCCAGAGTAGTTAGCTGGGAACTTGGGGGACTTTTTCATAACTTTTGATTTTGAAATAAGTTACATATTGAGGAAGTTAACTTAGTAATTATTTGAGGTTTTTTTACTTTCTAAGACAAGTTTCAATCTAACTGGAAGAGACGGCCAAC